ATGGTCCTTGAGTCACTTGAACTCAGTGGGAGTGTTCCAGGTTAAAATACAAGTAGAACTGCCACTGTTTTCTCAGAGCGCAGAACGTGACTACTTGAAATATTTAGATGTGACAGTGGTCAAATCACAGTAAAATGCCTTCTGTAAGGAGCAGTGAGTTTTTGGCTGAACATATGTTTTGCTTTCTCTATTTTCTATGAAATAACCTTGAAGTTTCTGAAGGGCAAACTCACAATATTTTGCTAACAAATCTAACAAAATCAATTACTGTTATTTCTCCATTCTTCTTCAGCCACCGTTCATAAGGATGCACTTAGAGAGCGACTCAAATGAGCACTGAGGTTTGGCATTAGCATTTACCTCTGTGGTAATCAGTTACAACACAAAGCATCCACAAGAACCAGCATAAGGTGCTCAGGACAAGCCTATGTGGCCTAAACCAACAATTTTTACAGTATAGCGGCCTGACAGTGAAAATCAAACGAGTTACTGAATGTTCCCCAGATGAGGTCCTTGTTGTGAAAGGAAGAATAAATAGTAGAGAATATTGCCTCACTGAAGGAAAAAAGTTAGTTTGGGTGACAGTGTTTAGTGTTTCTCTTCTTTAACTCCCCTAACCCCTTCAAACAGGCTCTGCACTCACATTCCTAAAGTCTTCTCTGCTTTTTCTTTCTTTCAGTCAGCTCAACATCCTTGACAGGCTCATAAGCATACACTACCGTACGTAGTGCGAAGCTTCTTTCTGGCAAAGTGTCTTTGGGTTGAAAAAAACACACGTAAGAAGTCAATGTAGTTAGAAATAAATAACAAGACATTTATAACTGAGAGGTAAAGCACACGTAGTTACTCTAAATCTTAAAAGATCTGACTTAGTTCTTCATAATTATAGGAAACTTTAACAGGTATCTAACAGTGTGGAGTGGGGAATGTAATTCTTCAAGATAATGCTTTTGAAAACTGATTTCTACATTAGTAATTTTGGATAAGTAATTTCTGCTTTTCTGTTTTAGTCTTCCACTCTTAGAAGCTAAGCTACTAATAGGATCAACTGGCAAGTCCTATGATGAATTACTTAATATTAAAAAAATACTAGATTCTTCTAGGATTATAATGATATACAGATGCTGGAAAATCTATTTCATGTCAAAGCTACATTTAGCTAAGAAATTTTCAGCCTGAGAGAGAATACACAGATTCGTTTCCTGGACAATGGGTTGAAATATTCATTGCCATTTCAGGCATTACTGAATGATGGCCTGTTTCAGGACTTTTCAGACGTCAGCAGTAAGGGCTACTTTCCACAATAGCACTCTGACTGCAGGAGATAAAAGACTGTTTATTCTTTTTTTTCACAGGGGAGGAAAACAATGACAAAAGCAGGAAGGCAGCACTAATGCAGAAATCTGGAGGTGATGATAAAGGGTAGGGAGAATGGAGAAAGTTGTTCAAATAAACCCATTCTGGCCAAAATCAGGCAGGTGACAACCAAGTATATATGACATTCAATTGAACTACAAATCATCATTTTTCAATCTGGTCATTAAAGAAAATTCTAAATTTCATTTGATTTGATTTACAGAACACAAACTGAAGTATTTCAAACCTTCAGAACACAATTTTGCATCGTTTGCATTAGACAACCCTTAAAAAGAAAAAAGGACCCTGCATTTGTTCAAAAGCATTGCTGCTGCACGCTGCGAAGTACACTTAGTGGGTACTGACATGCTCCTGCTTCACTCTTGACGTCTTGTGAGCAGTTAGAGCTAGCCAAATAGCAAGCTGGTACAACCCCTGGCTCAGAGAAAATTTCAGTTAGTGACAAATGGTCAAAAGTAGTACCTGAGCATAAGGCAGATCTTAAAATAAGAATTGGTTAGCAGAATACAATGAATGAATGTATGGATATAAAAATTAACTGTATGAGGAATAATTTAGTTGCACAAGCAAATTAAGATAATTTTAACACCATTGCTCTTTGGAAGAACTAGTTTTGTTTCTAGTTTCATCTGATTTAGTTAAAAAACCTCCAACATTTTAGAAGGGGCTGAAATAGCAGTGAGCACGAACACAAAACACACTGCCTGCTGCAGCCAGGTCTCTGTTCGAATATCTCGCATCTCAGGTAACGTAACAGTATAACCCAACCAGTTCCATTTCCCAAGAAGTTTAATTAAGCAGAACACAGCTAAACAAATCATCATTTATTCTTGGATCAAGCCCCCACCATTTGGTGTCATGCTGTCTTAGGCATTTCATTACTTGGGCAAATTCAGCAAGGGTTAAGCTATCCCTCCAAACCCTCCTGTTTATCATTATCATTTTGTTGGTGAACAGATCTCTCCCATCACTCTTGACTGCTCCAATTTTCACATCATTGCCAAGTGCTCCTGGTTTTCATTTTAGTACATCTTTAAAACAGGAGTAAATCAGTGAAGACCTTAGAGACAGCATAATTAATAATAATTTGTTTCTTTAGAAAATTGTAATTCTAGGCAAATATAGTCTTTTAACACATCATACCAGCCAAAAAAAGGTAAGTGCATTCAGATAATACATTAGCCTTCTGCAAAGAGCATGTCTTCACGGTTACATTAACAGAATATGGAGTCTGCACTTCAGACAAATGCATGAGTCTTTATGCAGAATAACTCCAGAGCACAGGGCATGCCACAACTCACAGGAGGAAGCACACTAATTCTCAAGCCACAAGACTAAACTTTCTAGTATTTCTTCACACGTTTCTTCACTAACTTATATTAATAAGGTTGTTTCTGCGTAGAAACAGTAGATCGTATTCAGGAATAAGTACTTAAAGAGAGTTATGGCCAAAAAGTTGTACTGAAAAATAGTAAAGCTGCAAAGTTTAATTTTTCATCCTTCTTTACCAGAGTTATGTATCATCATTAAAAGGATGGATTATAAAAGAAAAAAATCTTGCCTATTCCCAGTAAACCATTCTTGTTCATACAAATACAAACAAACATTTTATTTAGTTTTTATATTTCTCTGGACAACTACACATAATATCTTGAATCAAAGACCCACATTTCTAAACCACTAGCATCAGGAAATTTTACCAAGTTTCACATGTTACTCATTCTAAAATTTGAATTAAAAGAAAAAAAATACTTTAAAACTGATTTCAGGTTTAACTGTTTAAAGTAATTTTACTTGGAGAGGCAGGGCTGGATATGTATGCTACATGCTAGAACTTGTGCCATCCTTACTTTCTTTTTGTTGCATTTTATACGTAAAGTTATTATGATCTATACTTGGTATTTGCCCCCAAAAAAGAAATTCACCAGAGCTTATTAAATAAATCGAAGCTCCAAGGTAATTGTTATGTTGAAACAGTAGCATTTTACATTGCTTTCTAAGCATTGCTAGAAAGCCATATCAAATAATTTTAAAATATCAAATTAATCACAGAAAACAAGGTATTTTTTCACAGAACTGTGGTTCATAAACTGACTGCCAGCTTAGAATTATGAATATAAATATTACAAGTTAATGTTTCTGGTGTTGTTATAGAGGCTGGTACCTCCACAGTGCTGTTGCTATAGCTCCCCTGCCACTGAGATCATATCTTTTTATAATAAGTAGGTAAATATACACAGAGTGTTGCGATGTACAGATATCCATCTATACACATGGGCAAGAGTAGACACTGCAAACTTCCTCCTCAAAATACTTTTTGCAACAGTCAAAAGGCTACGAAGGATACAGAATTCTGTACTTTTTCCCCACATGGAATTACACAGACAAGTATTTTTATAGAACATATCATTAATATTTGCATTTAAACAGCATAAATCTCTCAGCATCTATTCAAAAAAACACCTTAGTACAGAAAATATCTAGAGCAATAGAGAAAGCTGTTAAAAATGGAATTTTTAATTATAGGAATGCTTAAAAAGAACTGACCAATCCAATGAAATGAATAGTTTTCCTCCAGCTTGCACTCAAACTAAAATGCTTATAAAAAGGGAACCCAGATTGGAAGCACAATATTTTTCATCACACATGCCTCTTACGACAGCTAATTTCTCAGTCATTCTGAAGAGCAATGTGTGTTTACAGACTATTTATTCAAGGATAGATTCAGAGGGGGGACAAAAAGATACCCAGAAAAAAATAAGCTTTCATTTTCATTGAGCTGTAGTACTTAGGCTGAGTGCCTGCTTCTTCAGAAAATGGAACTTTTTGGCATTTGTCAGTAGATTCAAACATCTTGAAATGCCGAAAAGGTGAAACAAAAAACCTCCCCTGTGCTGCCTTCCTATCTGATCTTTTGTCTCATATGTTCCCCTCAGGGATGCACAAGAAATTTCTCTGAATAATTCATAAGCACCTAGGCAGAAACCAGCTTCTACTTCTGAACAAAAAGATTGGGTAAGAAGCTGATTGTCAGCTGTCCCACTCTGGTCTATCTGGAAGAAAACTGGATTTAAAAAAGTAATTTTTTCTAACATAGTAAGCACAGAATATATATACGTATGTATATATGAAGTATATAAATAAACATGTGTTTATGATGGGGAAGGCACCTTTGTACTTTGAAGTTACACATTCCTTTGAGGGCAAGACTGATTCTCTACCTTTCAAAAATTCCAGAAATTGCATAGCATGAAGGCAATCTATCAACATGTAGGATAGCAGAATGACTGGTCTTTCCTCTAGACTACAGTACCCAACTCTTACTGTGAGCCACCTTTACTGCCCAACAGAACTGAATATTAGGCAGATGCAAATGACTTCACTACAAATGTAGTCTCTGTTAGGACTGAAATAGTCTTACTGGCTGCAGTTCCTTTTTATGTCCCAACACACACAGAAGAGAGAATAAAAAGCCTGAAAAGACTGTTTTCAAACCTATTTTGCTAATAAGAATATAGATCCAAACCTCATAAGCTATGGGTTACCCACACCAAGTTAAGATTTCACAATACAGTATCATAAGCTGAGACAAAAGCACTTATGAACGTGGACTCAAGACTTACCAGCCTCTGCATGCTTTTCACGTGGGTAGGACTAATAGATAAGGCCTCTTCATACCAGCGTTTGGCTTCATCGATGTTTCCACGAAGTTCAGCCACCTGACCTCTCATGTAGAGAACATAGTGCGACATCGGAAAGAGATTAGCTGCTTCCTGGGTACACGCTGTGGCCTCAGCAGGCTTCCCAATTCCTATGTAGACTTCAGCTGTGGAAGGAATTTGAGAACCAACGAATGATTCTTGCTGTATCATACCGTGACTAGATGTTGTCACATGTAACTATTTTCTAGGCAAAGGCTATTTTCCTAAAAAAAATGTTGCAGCTTAAAATAATTTATGTAATAATTTCTCTTAAATTAATTCTTCTTTTAGGAAAGTTGCTTTTCTAAATGTAATAGGAGTTTGAACCTCTAAGTGGCTGTTTTAAACACCAGAAAACTCTTTATAGTTTGTTATTTTTAACTGAAGTCTGGGATTTTTTCAATTTAGTTTTATTTTTAAGATGTGAGCATGCCAGTATTCCAGTACTATTTAAGAACAGAAAATCCAACACAGAACAGCACACAGAGATCCTTACAGCAGGTAAGAGAACACAACTAATTACAGTGTTTTCTGAATTTTACATGTCAGCTGTTCAGGAAGCGGTAGCAATTGCTCCAGCTACCAATAACTGAATGGCAAGCCTTGTTCTAGGTTTCCTACCTCCAGAGCAATTTAAAAGAAAAGTCATGTTATTTGATATGAAAAGTTTCCTGGTTAAATTCGCAGGACTTGTGAAATGCTTAATCGGTATTCTGATTTGACAAAATTTGTTCATATTTCCAAGCATTTTATCTAAGATATCCTCCAGAAGCTAAGAACATCTAACTCTGCAGCTTTAAACAAACACACAAAAAAGCAGTTATATTTAATTTTATATAAATCACTCCTGATGAAAGCAGTTGAGTAGCCTGACACATACTTGTCTAAATCAGATTGACCATAAGGGAAAAAAAAGGGTTCATTCAGTAAGTGATTAACAACTAACAGTAGAAGAAGTATTTGCCTTCAATACCTCTTATGACACCCTTCAACACTGCTATTTCACTAATCTGCTGGACTACCTTAATCTCTTGCTGTAAGAGTGGGAGAAGCGACAAATAAACAGATACTAAATACAAGAATGAGATACTAAAGGTTCTGGGTTATCTCTCTCTTTTATGTTGGAACAGATCCTAGAAAAATTGAGCGTCAAAGTAGTTGGATAATTGCATTCTTTTGTATCACACTGTACAAGTGTCTTATAGATTAAGATTTAAATCAAAATGCTCCATCAAAACAGCGAAGTGAGCTATCGCTGTTCAAGACATGCTTCTCACTGTACAGTACAGGCCACCAGCTTGGTTTGAAGGCTGTCAGATCAGGATCTCGCACTACAGTGGTCGGTTTGAGGTTATTCCTAAAACTGTGAATAGGACTGATGTTTGAGGGCCTTTAAAGGAGCTTTCTTCTGAGAAATATATTTTTAGAAACTAATGAAATGCTTTTTGATGGAAAAATGTCTCAGCCACATGAAGAACTAACACATGAAATTGCAGATCCAGCAACACTTTTTTTTCCCCTAACCCTAAAAGAAACACCTCACCTAGTCAGAGACAGTACTACATAATTAAAGAATAGCAAACCTGGAAGATAATGAAGGGACAAAATTTTGAAATAAAAATCTTAATTTGTGAGAGATTAAATCTTTCTAGAATTTTACTTTTACTAACTGTACAATCCAAAGGCCAAACTGTAGCCATAATTTAAGAGCTGGACATAGAGCATAAAATGTGAGAGGTTTTTGGTTTTTTTTTAAAACCTAAAATATTTTGGAAAAGCTGTGGGTACTTCATTCTCGAGTGCTTTTCTACGAGCTACGTGGTCAATATTACTATGTGAGAAACAAGATTTTAGTGAGCATAAAATACACTACATTATTTAAGTGCTAACCATTTGAGCTCTCCTAGTTTTATTGTCTCTTCTCCAGCATCAGGCTTGAAACATTGTTTTAAATACACACTCCCAAGTTGCCCAGTGAAAAGACAGTATGAAAAATATATTTTACATGGACTGTAAAATGTAGTAAGTAATAGCTATAATTATTAGCAAATAATATGCAGAAACTAAAAATTACTTAAGTAGGTGATTATCTGCTATCACAATAATTCTAGACTGAAAAATAAGCAGAGATTGGCTAATTTAACAGACTGCAGTTGAAATTCTGTATTCCTTGAGGGGAAACGAGTATGGTAACAATGGCTTTTAACACTAGCCAATAGAGGCTGCGATACTGCTTATAAATTAGTCTTACATTACTGTAAGAGCTACAAAATCTTGCTGTCCTGCTTACTAACTGCAGCAGAGAAACTTGACACTTATTAACAGACCTTCCTAAACGTATTAAATTTAAACAAAATAGTTCCTTTATGTTTAACTTTATCATAGTTATTTTAAAAATAACTTCTCCTTTTCTCTCGCAGCAGTTATGCCACTCCAACAGAATATTCAGTGGACTTTTTCAAAAACTATGAAAGAATGAATAGCAAGTTGAACTTGTGGCTAAGTGTTAAGCATGAAAGTTTATTCAAGAAATTTCTGAAATTGAAGGAGAGCTGTTCGTTCTGAGATAATGGCTTCAAACTGAATAAAAATGTTAAAAAACAACATGGCAAATTCAAATACATCAGTTGTGGAAAACCGACAAGTGCCAGCAGACTTTGTAGGAAAATCTCAGAGAGAAGCAGCATTTTGAAGAGAAACCAAGTGCCAAGTTCGATGTGCTCTTCTCAGTGTGTCCACCTAGAGAACACCAAGTATGTCCTCTGGCTCAAACCCTTCCAACGCTCACACTTGCATTTTATTGAGAAATCAATCTATTTTCCAATCAAGCTGCACAGCAATATTGAGCTCAGCCTTGATGAATTTCTCAAAGGACCATCACAGCCATTGATCATCTAGGGACAGGCCTGGTTTTTAATAGTCAGTTACTGGAGAATGTACTAATTGCAGAAGTCGTTTTGTTTCACGTTTAAAATAAGCCTGACTTTCCATCTTTAGACTGTATGCCCAGAAATGAAAGGTTGAAACAGTCCATTAATAAACACAAGATGAAAAATTAAAAGCCAGTTACTGTGCGCAAAATCAACTTCTTTGGACTAAGTGCCATGCTCATTTGCACTAATGACAGCTGGAATGACACTGTGTATCGGTAAGAACAAGCATTTTCTCTTTTTCACATCACGTATACTAGTTTGGGTAAATATATTCCACTAAGTTTTGCATGTATTAGAACTTATTTACATAACTTTTCCATGTGTCTATAATACAACAGGAAGAATAATTATAAATGCTTTTATTTTAAGATTTAAAGCTTCTTAAAGATTTCCCCCCCACTCCCACCCCCCCAAAGTAAAACACCACACAACCATACAGGGAGTCAAACAGTTAAATGTGGCACGAGTCTCAAAAAGGAAGCAATTTCCCAATGGTAAATCTTCACTTTTATTTAAAGAACATGCATTTTAAGTATGTCGTTAAGTAATTTTATCACTGTTTTCTATGCAAGTAACCCATATATACTGGTGACGATACCTTCCAGAATATCTGCTTTGTATTGTGCTTCTGGGAGAAAATTTTATTCTGAATGTTCCTACAGTAAAAAGCTTTTCTCAAGGCTCAGGGCATTTACTGTAGCAGGACAAGTAGCTGAATAGCAGGATACCTAAACACTCTGAAATGCAGTACAGATCACCAGCCTGAAGTATCAAGAACAGGATCATTCCAAAGCGGAGGGAAAGAAGACTTCAGGTTGCAGTACCTTCTCTAAAGGCAGATAGAAGCCCTCCTTTCATCTCTTTTTTTTTTTTTTCTTTCATTAGTCCCCATACACAAAGAGTCAGAGCACTCTTCATACTTTTTTGTGTCCTTCCCCTGGACCTTTAACACTTCAGTCCATTATTCAACCCAACTCTCTCCTACTTCCCACCCATGCTTCCTCCTGCTGGGAATCAAGAATATGGCCTGCAGACCATGCTTGCCAAGATAGATATTTTTAAGAGTGGAAAGTGGACTGTGCAGCAGACTGCAGCAGCAGACCACCAACGTGGATGCAAACCTAAGTTGTGAACTAAAAAGGAATCAGCGAAGAGTGTCCAGACCCTTTCTTTGTGGGCAAAACAGTAACAGTCACTTGCATGGACTGTATAAGCAGCAACAGGACATGACCAACAAAAACTAAAAAACAGAAAATAAGCTGTGGAACAAGCTGTCACAGAAGGCTGAGAAATTATCAGCATTATAGATGCTGAGAGTTACTGTAGAAGGCCATCTGTGATGGTTTATAAATATTTAAAATCAGCGATGTCACGAAGCAGTGCAGGTGACTATGCTATGCCCTGGTGGACCTTGCTTTGTTTTATCTGTGTTGCTTTTGAGGAGCCCTTCCACTCCCAAGAGTGATCAATAATAGTGATCTCCGTCATTGCTCTTTCCTTCCGATCTTCTAGGCTTTTTCTCTAAAACATTAATTAATAACTGGGAGCCATTGCCCTGTAGTAACTTTCACACGATAAAACTGTTAATGCAAAATAGGTAAATTAAAACACTAAGAAATACAGAACTGTTTTGTTGAATGTAAACATGAAGAAAAAAATAATTACATCACTGAAAAATGCTCAAGTCTGAGAGCAGACCAAAACAGAACAATTGCCGATGGATTTCTTTCGGATGCACGTATCAATAAAAACAATTGCACGGTATACATTTTTAACTGTGTAAAAATACACTGGATGATAGTTTTCTGGTTAAAATTTTATATAACAGCTACTTGTGATATTCCATTTAGCTTGAGGCTTGAAGAAGCAGCGTAACAATACTAAATCCACTCAAGATGACTTCACATTTAGAAAAACAATCCTGGGTCTTTTACATTAATGAAGCTAAAAGGAAGAGAACTGAATGAGAGCTCATTATCACAGCTGCAAGGGACAGGTTGCTCAATAGTACTATTACCCTTTTTTTCCACATATGCAAAGTTATTTGTTTTCAATGATAAAGCTTTTCTACTTGCAGGAACTCTATTCAATAATCTTACAAACATCTTTTTCCAACCCATGGAATTAGGGCATCTAAATTTTCAAATACTAAGATACTCAAGGGACATAAGAAACTAAATTCTTCACAGATAAGGGTGAGAGTATTGCCTTTGTTCTACAGAAGATATGACTCCACTGATAACAGCTGCATTATAAAACTACTGCCTTGTCTTACATAAATGATCTTACATATGAACAACTCTAATGTGCTTTTTATTTCTTGACTTGCTTCAGTGCCACACACACACCTGGAAAAGAGTTTGATCTGATAAGTGATAATAAATTCTGAATTAAACCAATAGATTTTTGCAAGTCCTTAGGCTAGCAAGAAAGGGGAGGGGAAAGAAAGAATTTTACTTTCACAGTACCTGCATGAAGCCATATTTGAGCCAGAGTCATCCAAGGGTGCAGGGGACCTTGTTTAGGGGCACTGCTTTGCAGAGATGAAGCAACCTCAGACAGTGCTTGCTCCACTCTGGAAGCTGCTATTGATGTGGCATGGACTGAACCTGTAGAAGTAATAAAAAAAAAATTACCATCAAAGAAAGAATGAAGGCCACACACATTGCATAAAACATTTAACCGTAATCCTTTTCATAAGAGGTTTTACCCCAAACTCCTCTAGATTTAATTTACATGTACCATTTTGGAAAAGTTTTTTTAAATGTCAGGTTGATTTTCCTTGTTGTGAAAGCTTTTATACTGGTCTGAAAGACTACATAAAAAACACACTGAACTGTACCTGACACATTTTTGGGTTGCTACTATGAATACGCTCTATTAAACTCGACACCTCCTTTCTGGCAATGTATGATCCAAAAAAAGGTTTTTGATAGTATCGTACAACTGTAATCTTCAGGTTGCTGCATGCACTTTGATGTAAGTAATTGCTAAGGCTTTCCATACAGTGCAATTAGAGGCCTATTTTAAGACTAATAACAGTACGAAAAAGAAGAACTAAAATATACAAGATGATCACAACGTACCCCATCACAAATACACGATTAAACTGCACTGAATGTAAACCTTAGCTAATCAAGAAGGCTGAGTTAAAATGCCTTGTGGCAAAAAGTCCCTTGCATGAAGAACGTTCCCAAAGCAAAATATGTAAAGGGTAACTTTCTTAAAATGAAGCATTTACAAGTGAGATTAGAATCTCACTGGCAAGTACTACCCTTTTCAAAGTACTAGAAATGAAAAAGCTATAACTACAGAATATCTAATGGCAACTGTACTTTGGATAGACAATTTCTGACAGCGTATTTAGTCATGATTTTTTTTTTTTAAATCAAGACCATGAATATTTTAAGCTACACTCCTTCTTGTCATCTGTATTGGGTTTGTGTGTAAGGTTTTGGTAGCGGCGGGGGCTGCAGGGGTGGCTTCTGCAAGAAGTTGCTAGAAGCTTCCCCTGTGTCCAATACTGACCCGCCGCTGGCCGAGGCCAAGCCAATCAGCAATGGTGGTGGCACCTCTGGGATAATATATTTAAAATGGGGCCAAAACCCCTGTGTGTGGCATTTGCAGCCAGAGAGAAGAGTGAGAATATGTGAAAACAGCCCTGCAGACCCCCAGCCCAGAGCAGCAGGAGGGGCAGGAGGGCTCCAGGTGCCGGGGCAGAGGTTCCCCAGCAGCCCCTGGGGAAGCCCACGGGGGGGCCGTCTGTGCCCCTGCGGCCATGGAGCTCTACGGGGGAGCAGATCTCCACCCGCACCTGGGGAGGGCCCCACGCCAGAGCAGGGGGATGCCCAAAGGAGGCTGTGACCCCGTGGGAAGCCTGCACTGGAGCAGGCTCCTGGCAGGACCTGTGGAGAGAGAAGCCCATGGTGGAGCAGGGGTGCTGGCAGGACTTTTGGCCCTGTGGAGGGACCCAGGCTGGAGCAGATCGTGAATAACTACAGCCCATGGGAAGGACTCATGTTGGAGAAGTTTGTGGAGGCCTGTCTCCCATGGGAGGGACTCCAGGCTGGAGCAGGGGCAGAGTGTGAAGAGTCCTCCCTCTGAGGAGGAAGGAGTGGCAGAGACAACGTGTGATGAACTGACCACAACCCCCATTCCCCGTCCCCCTGCGCTGCGTGGGGGGGAGGTAGAGAAATCGGGAGTGACACTGAGACTAGGAAAAATGGAGGGGTGGGGGAAAGGTGTTTTAACGTTTGGTTTTATTTCTCATTATCCTACTCTGATTTTGACTGGCAATAAATTATACTAATTTCCCCAAGTTGGGTCTGTTTTGCCCATGATGGTAACTGATGAGTGATCTCTCTCTTCCTTATCTTGACCCACGAGCCTTTCGTTATATTTTCTCTCCCCTGCCCAGCTGAGGAGGGGAGTGATAGAGCAGCTTTGGTGGGCACCTGGTATCCAGTCAAGGTCAACCCACCTTGGGGTGGGTTCATCTAAGCTTCAACATATCTCTAGTTATTTTATAATTACAAACTACAAAAACTGAGACCTGACTAGGCATGCTTAATAAATAATGGAAGTGAAATATTCCATATTGGAATATTCACATGAGAAGTCCTCTAAGACCATCAGCCTATTCGTAATGGTCAACAGTGGCAGGTAGCTCAAAAGAAAGTATTGAATCCTGCACCCCAGAAGCTCATCCCCATCACTAGCAGTTAAGAAATAAATGAAACCTTCACTCTCAATATCGCAGGTTTTCCAAGAATTTTAACAAGAATGGATTTCCCACATGAAACATACCTTCTTAAGTGTGACAAGATAAATCAGCAGATCAGAAAAGTAGAAGAAATCCCTAGTACACAGATCAGTGGGAAGAGGAAGTTTGTCTGAAAGTGTGCGTCATGTTTCCCTTAACTGACGGAAACAAGGGAAAAGCAGCAGAGGACATCATTAGCATTTCAGATTTCACTATGAACAAGGAATTGCTCTGAAGATCTGAAAGTGGAGTTTGCTTTCCCTTACTGGCTGATGAAACAACTCAAACTCCAGCCTGCAGAGCTGAACATTCACTAAAGTTTTTGTGTGTCTTATCTTTAAGGCTTAACTTCTGAAGAAATAGAAAAGGGAAATCTAAGCAAGAAGCATGTGGAGCATATTCCAAGAAAAATACCGGCAAAGGTACCACAAATAAGCACTAGTCACCACTAATCCTTTTCCCGTCTGGCATTCATTTCTGTAAATGTACGTCACTGCAGCCTGTCACTTGTTAACCTTCCAGGGACTATTAGTGAAAGAGTCTCTTCACCTCTCCAGAAAAATTTGTAAAAAAAGGTGTGATCCACTAACACAAAGGATAGCATCTAATCCCTTCCTTCTAAAAAGCAAGTATTCAGTTTAGTATTAAGAAGGGCCTCTATCTTCTATTATTTAAAGCAAGGACTCTGGCTGTTAGCCAGGCCACCAATAATTTCATATAGAAAGTGTGCTATTAGAATTTTAAGACTTGAGTACTTAACCAGAAAGCACATACGGTAATATATTATTAAAACTTTTTGTACATCACTTTCTATATAAAAAAAGAACTACACTGTGATAAAATTCTTATGAGTGGCATTTAACTTCATCTATATTGAAGTTAAAACAGGGTGGATAACAGGTGCGTAATATGGTCATTAACTCAAATCCTGAACTTCATTCTGAGTTGCCTCAGTCTTCAGTGGCACTCTCTCTTTCCACCCCTCTCAAGTGGATGGACTGCAAAGCAGGGACTGGAGGAGCGAAGTCCCTCCCACTGAGGGAGAAGATCAGGTTCAAGACCACCTGAGGAACCTAAACATATATAGGTCTATGGGACCTGACAAGATGCATCCCAGAGTCCTGAGGGAATTGGGAGATGTAGTTGCCAAGCCACTCTCCATGATATTTGAAAAGTCATGGCAGTCATTTTTGCTATTACCTTTTTTTTCTTTCTTTCTTTCCCCCTCCCCTTTTTTTTTTAAATAACAATAGTCTTTTGACACTGCCCAATCAGGCATCTTTCAGGTACATTGCACTCATGCTGATACCTCTAACCCATAAACCCCTAAATGCTGCTTTAGTATTGGCACAATTAGCTGTCATCTGACTCATTTCTGGCTCCTTCTGTTAAAACATAATTAGTAAGCTTGCATTTTGCAGACAACTAAAAATCATTTAAAGATCCTGTGTACAAAAAAGCTTTTTCTGATCTTCCTCCAAATTTTATTCATCCCTACTAACTATCTGAGCTATTTGTTCCTTGTTCTAACCCAAGAGTCCCCAGATTCAGATCTTCATAGCTACATTACAAGTGTAAAATGTATAGTAATTTCAGCTACAGCTGGTAAAGACACATAGTGGTTTGTGAGAAAGTGAGGGTAAAGGGTGGATCTTAAAGTCTGCTCAAGGCTTCACAGACCCTACGGAGCCAGTTACTTATTTGGTGGCTCCCTGTTGGTTTTGTCATAAGCTCTGCTCTCTCTTCCCAGCCTTCTCTGAATTTTTCTTTCTTTGTTCTGCATTCAGTACCCTCAGCCAAACACAAACATATCCTCACTTTCTGTATTACAATTCACTCAGTTGTAGCTTCCTTCAAGTGCTCAGATAGAGAGCAGTAATTTCTGGTTTAAAATTTTGCCGTATCTTTCACGCAAATATCCTTGCTCATCCCAGACAACTGCTAGACCTGCTGTTATAATGTGACACTTAAGAATCAAGAAAAAAATTCCCTCAAAATACCACAAACAGCAAAGAGTGTTTATTTTGAAATATAAAAGCATGAGGTCTGGAAAAGTAAAATATCACCAAAATGAATCCTGGCAACTCACTTTCTTTTGTTTGGTTCTGTTCTGAAGCTTGTTTATACTAAAAAGGCCAAGTGCAAAACAGGCACTGTCTTTGCAAGATCTAGAATTCACTTCTAAAATTACTTATTTATTAACATCCCGAAACACAATCACATTGCACACATCAAATGTCTGTGACAGAAGGTCTTAATCATAACAAAATGTTTCTAAACCAAAAAGGTATACTATCCTGGCTGAAACCAGGACATATAGTCACCCACTCAAGTTTCCTATAATGACATTTGTCCAGAATTACAGAATTTCTACTTACGATACTAACATAGTATCTGCAACAATCTATGGTTATCTCAATGTTTCCATTCAGTCTCAAATAGAAAACCTACCAACAGCCTTGTACAAACACAATTTAACCAAGAAGTTATCTCACAGAAACCTTTCTTTTACAAGTCACACCTACAGTTCAACTTCTGTGAAAAACAAAGTGTTCAATTCATTCTTTTCAGGCATTTCTTAAGATAAATATTACAGGAGAGTCTGCATGAAATCCGTCTTTAAATACCATTTGTAAGTCACCCTACGTAAACAAGTGTGCCATGACTTCTTCAGTTCTTTCCTTGGTCATTTCCCAATAAATTCTTAACAATGAAGCCTAATGGATATGCATTAAGATACGGACTCTATCAGCACTTAGTTGGCATGCAGGTTTGGAGAAAAACAAAATCCCTTTGCTATGTTCATCAAATTTTCCTTCTGAAAATAGGTAAAAGAATGGACTGTCATTGTTCGTGAA